TTCATGGGGCCGGACTTACTCTTGTGTTCTGTCGGAGTTGGAGCTGGCCCTGCCGGTGATGTCCCCAATGACGTCTCGAGGTGCAGCATGGGTTCGCCATGGTAGAACAAATGCGGCTCGTACCTTAAGAAACAACGGATGGCACCCATCTGCCCCCCTACGCGCAGGTACATAGTGAAGTTGACCATCCCGAGGAGATGAGTCAGGCATGCCAGACAGTCGCCAGTAGACAAATCCGGCGTGCACTGCGCCATGGAGTACACCTTCGGGAAGTCTCTGCCGCTGTCCATGACGGCGGTAGCAAATCGTCTCGGGGTCCTGCTGGCCGCCTCTTCGACTGTCTTCACAAGCAGCTCCTGGATGAGGACTCCGCCAATGAGGCGGACGTCGTTCTTGACATTCCACCTCTGGAACGGAGGGTCGCCACCGTTTTCTCCTACCGAAATATTTATAGATGAAAGAGAAAGGATGTTCTTGAAGTCGTAGAAAAGCATACAATCGCTGTAGTAGGAGGCAACGCTGAAGCACTCTATTTCCGGCGGCGTAGCGTTTTGCACCAAGGTCAATACGTTGGTGAGACACTTGGCGCAGGCGGTGTCATTAAGGACATCGCCACGGCAGAACGCGAGCCCGTAGACGATGTCAGGGGACTTTCCAATGGTGGCGGTGGCAAATTGTACGGGAGATGAGGAGATTTTGTTGGGTAGGGTGGCGGCGAGAAACTTAACGTTGTCGCAGAATTCATCCGCAGTTGTCTGGAAGGGTGTGAGGCTACTGAGTAGGAGCATCAGGGTGATCACCATGGCTTGGCTAGCTGAAATTGCTTCTGGTTGTTCTTCTCCGAGATGGTTGATCAGACCGTGTGCCTTTATGTATCAACAATACACCATCGATATCATTCACATGGAAACACGAATATTAGAAAAGTCTTTCTGTTGATTTCCGCAATGGCCAGTTGCTTTCAGCACTAACTAGTCAACGCCTTACTTTGAAACCATCAAAGCAGCAATGACGCTATATTTGCTTTACTAACTAGTTTTACTATGTCATGTCCCAGAACAGCCTTATCTAACGCCTTAAGTGTTTGAAATAATATATAAGTGCCACCTAAACTGGCCTCACTCACCAAATATATAATTTTTGCTTTGTCTCCATTATTGTCCCGATTCAGTTTTAAGAATGGACAAATGTACCGGCAAAGATATAATTGACCACAGTACTTAATGGCGTCATATCTAGTGCATCCGGGATAGGTCGTGCATCCGTGTATCCTCGAGTTCTCAGCCAGCCGATGCACATCTAACGCATGGAATCAAAAGCGACATAATTTTGCAGAAACACGCCCGCCGCTGCTCCTAGTTCAGTCTACTAACTTGCTAATAACCCCCTCCCCTAATCACACATCCTAAATCCCTATTCTCTGTTTCTTCTCCCTCTCAATCTGGATCGTCTCCTCCAATCACTCGATTACAGCGGCTCAGGTGAATCCTTCCACGGCAGCCGCACTTGGTCCGTCCGCCTCGAACGGCTCCAAGGCCCTGCTGATCGCTTCCATGTTGTTCGCGCTTCACCTGCGTCCGCGTCCGTTCGCCTCAAATCGCTCGACGGCCCTGGTGATCCTTACGACGGCCGCGGTGAGATCCGCCATGTCTGGACTACCTCCGCGCTCGCCCGCCTTCTTGTGGGTTCCCGACGCCAAGTTCGCCAACGGCCGCAACCTGCGCACCATCCAGTACACTGCGACCGCATGCAGCGTTGCTCCTCTGCCTGATGATGTTTTCCACCTGCAACAAGAGACTCGATCGAGTGGCCGGCAAACAAGGACCAAGTTCCTAGATTTTTCTTGTTCATGTTGAATGTATCTAGTACTTGGCTATGTGCAGATTGTAGATTCCGAGCTCATCCATCAAATTATTCTTTGTTAAATGTGCGTGTAGCTCCAGACATCATAATGTGAATTGTACATTATAGTTGAGTATTGTTTTTCAGAGACAAGTGAATTTAGCTTGGCCCCGGTGATTTGAGGTATTCTGCAATACATGATGTAATACAGCTGATGCTTGGTGCTTGGGAATTCCTGGTGATTCTGCATTCCGTCTCTTTGACATATTCAGATATTCATAAATAAGATGTTGCTACTGCAAGCTTACAAACAAAGCACTGTTTAATTTCTGTTCGTGAATAATATTGTTGAGGCTGATGTGGGTTTGCAAGCTGAGTTGTTCCCTGGATACTACTGGCAAAATATTACACCCGAAGTAAACAAAGCACAGTGGTCATACTGTTATCGAAGTAAATAAAGGAATGATGGCTCACAGGCTGACAAAGATTCTTGTAAAATGTATTCTCCTATATGGTAGATGTATCTTTGTACAAAAAAAAACAGAGCATGCTTAATGTTTATGTGAACATAATGTGACATGGTGGCCCTGCTGCTTCATATACTATATTCGATATGCACCAATTCAGAGAAAATAAGAGGAAGATAGTTCAAGAAACTCAAATTTCCATCCATCACAAGAATTCAATACATTAGTAACAGTAATATAAATTCATGTTTTTCAACAGACTGAGGGCCATCAGCCCATCACGGAACACCACTTGGCTTCATCTGCTGCACAATCTCCGCCCCTTTGCCTACTTTTTTGCTAGGACAATTGCGACTATCATGAAAAACTATTTGTTTGCAAGTCTTGCACAAGCGTGCAACCTTTACCTTGGCTTCCTTCTTCTTCTTTTTCTGTTCCTCCTCACTTATTTCCTTTCCTCTCTTTATTCTTTTGCATCTCCCCACCGTGCGAACATCAGTTGGTGGGTGTATGTCAATTTCAGTAGGAATATTGCAACCAATAAAAGCCTCATACTCATCTTGTCTAGTGTGCTTCACACCTGATGTAGGAACCATTTCATCCAAAGGTGCTTCAATATTTAATACACTTGATGTTAGAAAATCCATGCCTTCATCCGAGTGCTTGGCCTTCTGAATTAGATCTTCCAACTTGGTGCGTACAACTGAAATCTTCTTCCTCGTAGCTTCATTCAACGAATCGTTTGCCTTCTCTTCTATTAAATTCCCATGCTCATCATACACATTCTCCCTGTAAATAAAATTATATAATGTCAGCCATTTGGTTTTCAATTAGAATATCAATTGCATAAATTTTGTATACCTTTTGCACCGTTTCTTCCATCTTTT